GATCATTAAGGCAGTGGGGTGAGTCTCCTGTGACTGATTGTCCTAAAATGAACATTTTTGTCTCCCACATTAGTGTGGCTGCTGAAGCAAGTGCTTGAAGACAGGGAGGCTGATCACATACTGTGCCATTTAACTGTCTTGAGAAACAGGCTACTGCTTGGAAAGAAAGTCCCTTTTTGGTTAGGGTTAGGGAGAGTGAGGGCTGGGGCCTTTGAAAGGCCTCCTTTAGTTTAGAAAACAGGGAATGCATAGAAGTAGCAGGGTCTAGAGGCTCTGATAGGGAACCTTTGGATTCTTTGGAGAGAATGGACTAGTGTAGCAAAGTTAGGAATCTAGAGGTGAAAAAGCTTAGCTAGGCCTAGAAAAGATAAAACTTGCTGTTATGTAGTTGGCACCTGGAGATCATGGAGCAAGGCTTTGTGGCCAGAGGTTATAGAATGGGTGGCAGGGGTGAGGGTGAGACCCAGGTATTTGACCTTTGGTGAAGCTATTTGAGCTTTGGTGGGGGACATTCTGTATCTCCAACCTCAGAGGAAGTTGAGAAGGTCACTGTATGTTGCATAGCTAGAGCATAAGATGGAGAACAGAGGAGAAGATCATCTATATATTGGAGCAGAGTGCTGGGTTTAAGACTGAGAGCCTTGAGGTCTGCAGCAAGGGCCTGGCTGAAGAAGTGTGGACTATCCCTGAATCCCTGAGGCAGAGCTGTCTAGGTGAGCTGGGTAGATTGGAGTGTGTCTGGATCTGTCTATGTGAGAGTGAATAATCTTGGCAATCAGGGGACAAAGGAGTAATGACAAATGCATCTTTAAGGTGTAAAACAGAAAATTTGGAGGTAGACAGAGGAATATGAGACAATATAGTACAAGGATCTGGTATCACTAGGTGATTTGGTGTCATCATACTGTTAATGGCTGTGAGATCTTGAATTGGGTGGTAGGAGTCATTAGATTTGAGTACAGTGAGAATAGGGGTGTTGTAAGGTGGAAGACCTTGAGAAACCTGTTGTTTAGTAAGCAGTATATTATAGGCTTGAGCCCTCATTGATGTTTAGAGTCTATTGGGTATTGGGGAATGCAGGAGAAGACTGAGGGATCTTTAAGGTGAATTACCACCAGAATAGTGTGGGTGGCATGGGTAGGTCTGGAGGTAACCTCAGACTGTAGAGTTGATCAGGGAGGAGCGAACGGGAGGGGATGAAGGAGTGGTGCCTGACAGTTGGGTTTGGCATATGAGACCCATAGGGAGAGAGAAAGTATAAGAGAAATTGAGCTTTTGGAGAAAGTCTCTGCCTAAAAGGGGTTCAGGACAAATTAGGATAACAAGAAAGTTGTGTATAAACAAAAGGGTTTGGAACCCGCAGGGAATAGGTTCTGTCTGGAGAAGTCATGTATTTTGGCCATCAACTCCCGCTATGGACACTGTAGACTGAGAACATCAGCCTCAAAACTCATGTAAATCACTGGAGGTGGCCCCCGTGTTGACAAGAAAAGAGAGGATTTTACCTGAGATATCCAGCAAGACTTGGGGATCTGAGAGAGACACCTTGGGGTCCCAAGCCCTGTCAATCCTCTTCAGTGGCAAGTTCAAGTCGATCAGTTAGCAATGAGTCTCGAGGCAGCAGGGATGTGTTGTCCTGGGAGGGTAGGGAGTTGGATGATTACCTGCTCTCTGGCAGACAGGGCAATCGCAGTTCCAGTGGCCCTCTTTCTGTAGGTGGGATAGGGTCCCAGCTGTGGCCACGGGTCAGGGCAGTCTCTGCTCAGTGTCCTTCCTTGTTGCACTTGAAGCATGGTCCAAGGTGGAGGGGCAGGGTTTGGGCTTTCAATTTCTCTGTGGCCTATGTTTTATTTTGAGCCCTGAGTGCCATAGCCAGAAATTAGTTTTGGAATTTGGTTTGGAGCTTAGCCTGATGTCTGATCTTTTAAAGATCATCTTGTTTTTGTTGTTCCCCTCTACTGTTGAAGACATGAAAAGACATATCTAGGAGGTGTCTGAGGGTACTGAGGCCAAGATCTGACTTTCTATCTGTTATGGCTTGAGCTGCCTACCAGAGTCTAACCTTTTGTTGAAGAGAAAGAGTAGAAGTGAAAATAATTTAAAGATATTTGTAGGGTAAATCATAGGATTCAATTATCAATTTTAGCTCTTTGGTATAATTATATGGATCAGCAGCAAAGGATATTAAGTATTGGGAGATATGGGAGAGATTGGAGAGGGACAAGGGACATGAATATGGACCAAGCCTTGAGTACCTTTCATCTCATAAAGGGAAAGGAGGATTGGGGTGAGCACCGTGTCAAAAGCAGTTGGAATAGGGTTAATGAGGACATGTGGGAAGGTTCCCAGATAGCAGTGAGTGTGAGGAGCTGCAAGATGGTGGTGAAAGGCAGGAGTGAGATCTGGTGTGCTGTGCTGGGGAGAAAATGGCAATGGTGGGGTGGAGGAAGAGTGAGAAGGGGAGGGAGTGGTGAGGTGAGACAATGGTGCAGGTGTAGTGGGGGATCTGGGAGGTGGAAGAGAAGATAGCAGTGGGGGGGGAAGGAGAGCTTGGTGGGCATGGTGGAGGAGGGGAGAGAGTGGAAGGGATATCATCTATAGAGCCAGCGGGATTGTCAGGTTAGGGTTTTAGCAGTGTGGAGCAGGCCAAAAGTGTCTGAACCACCCCACGCACTTGAATGCCCTGGGAGCAAAAACAGACTTGCAAATAAGGTATCTGTGCCCATTTGCTAGTTTATATTGAGTTTAAACCATTTGGCAGTAAAGGATTAGTTGTTCTGGTTTTAAGATCACAGACGAGTGTGTCCAATTGTCTTGTCAGGCATCCAAGTGGTGTCTTTTTGGAGGGTTGGGAAGGAATATTTCCCATTGTGACCAAATTAAAGGTGAGCCAAAGGTTATGAAAGCCAAGTCACAATTCCTGTGAAAAATCATCACTCTTCTCAGGAATATGAATGAGAGAGAGAGAGAGAGATCACCAACGCCTGTATCCACCAGCTGTCACTGAGCGAAAAGGGTGAGTCCCAAAAGACATGGTCCTAAAGGACATGGATGGGGGTCTGGAGGGGCCCCACAGTATATGAGACAGGAATCCAAAGTGAAAGATGGCTCCCCTGTGAGAATCAAGGTGGGTCAGTGGTGGACAGAAGCTAGTAACAGCAATGGTAGAGATGAGAGAAAATGGAGAGGTAGCTTGTTGGTGGGGGGGAGCTCAAACTGGGGGAGACCCCCCAAGAACTGCACATCCCAACTGATATGAGTTGCAGCACCAGAATATTAGATTTTTTGGTGAAGTTGAGAGGCAGAGATAAGGAAAAAAACTTAATTGTGGGCATATGAGGGCTGCTGGAGACTGCAAGTGCCCTCAACAAGGGGGAGCTAGGGAACTTTTATGGAGTTGGGCTGGGATTGCAGCACTTGAGTGGTTGAAAAGTCTTGGGATTGGAGAGGGCTTGGTGCACACACAAAGAGGGAGCAGGAAGTTTATTTCTGGACTAGAAGAACACAGAAATTACTTCTGGAAAGAGATGTTGCAGTTTTAGGGGGCCCAGTGCCAAATTGGGCAGATGCCACATTAGAGATAGCCCCAGGCTGGCAGAACCCATCCGACATGATTACTGAGTGGCCTTGTTTTCTGTCTTCATCCCTCAGGGTCATATCATTTTATAGACTAATGTTCTATAAAATTGTCAATGTTCAACAAGAGAACACCAAAAGCTAGCAGTGAGTGCTTGGCCCATAGCACCAGTGCCTAGACAGCTCCCAGATGTCAGGGCCTTTTTTATTTCAATCTCTTTTTGTCTCTGTCACTGAGAAGACCAAGGGCTGAAAAGCTCACCACACTGTTTAATGGGCAGAGGGATCGATTATAAATCACCATCATCTTGTGATCATGTTACTGAAAATACACTTTTCTAAAAGAAAATCTTCTTCTAATGATTACCTTTGAGTTTAGCTCAATTCCTAGGTCTCTAAAAATATATGAAATATTAATGTGTCAGGATAACAGATATAAAATTCCATTCATTTAAGGGAAGGAAACAAGTCCCCTAAGTTGCACCAATTTTCCTCATTCTACCTTCAACATTGTGACATTCTTAAATTTTAAAAAACAAAATTCTTTTTAAAAAATTATTACAGTAATTGATCTAGTCAGAGCTTTCCTTTATATTTCAATGTGATCAATGTCCCTGAATTTCCTTTGAACTTAGGCAGCATCAAAGCATAGACGGGGCTGGGGATTTAGCTCAGCGGCATAAGCGCCTGCCTTACAAGCAGGCAGTCGTGAGTTCGATCCCTGGTACCAATAGAAAGGAAAAAGACAAAAAAAAAAAAAAAAAAAAAAAAAAAAAAAAAACATAGAGCACAAATATTACGCAAAAGAAAGAAAAAGTGAGGTTAAGAAAGAGGACAATTATTACAAACAGCCGTTTAGTACCATTAGAACTCTTAATCGCTCTGGCTGAAAACACCTGAAGCTTTTGAAAGCACGCAAAAAACTTAACTCAGCTGGATTTTAATAATTTCTGTGAGAAAAAGCAGAAAGCTTGGTGACCATCAGCAGAATGCTCTAGGGAAATGGGTCAACTCCAAATGTGGATTCCATTATTACAGAAGAAAAAGTGTGTGTGTGTGTGTGTCTGTGAAAGCCAGAGAAAGTTGGGCGATGGCAGGGTTAGGGAGGATTTCTAGAAAGGGGAATCAAGTTAGTGAAGAATTCCGGGAGGTTGTAACCCAGGAAATCCCGAAGGGCACTGCACTATTTAGGACATTACCTATCCAGTAGGCTGCTCCGTCATGCCCACCCCTCTTCCCACTAACAGACACGCACTTACCGGAGAAGAATCTGATTAGACTCCTCCCCGCATTCACAGAGCGCTCCCTCCCCCCACTCTGCCCAGAGGCTGTATCAAACCAGGGGATTCCCCTCTGTCCTTCCAGGTCTCTTATTACAAACTCTGCACCTGGCAACTGAAGCGTCATCATCGGTGATTTTTCTGATTGGCCAATACTTCAGGCGAGAGTATTTGGTTTGGTCTCTCCAGATTTCCTTGGCTCTGTTCTCACAATTGCTTTGTAGCTCAGAACAGCAACTACTGAGACCACCAGGAGAAGAGAATGGTTCTAAACAACGCTGTAGTTCTCGGGGTCTTGGCCCTGACTGCCAGCATGAGGCTTTGTGGAGGTCAAGACATCAAGGGTGAGTGCACTGCTGAGGGATGTTTATTCCCAGAGCCAGAAAATAGGAAACTGAGGGTGGGGAGCAGAGTTAAAGACAGGAGACAGGATGGAAAATTTATGCCCTTCCCCCTTCAGAACACCAGGGCCCAAACGACTCCAGTGGCTACTATGCCCCTCCCCCCCCACGGGTCACCAGCACTTGGTTCCAGTACTGGATCCCGTGAATGTAGCCTGGCGGTCTCTGCCACCCATTCATGGTTCACTCACCGAGCAGACATGTTCCCCTGAGTGGACTGCTTCTCATATTAAAAATGTGTGAGCTATTACCCTCAAAGTTCTCGCAACAATTTTTAAAGCTGGGGGAGGGGTGTTTGTTTGTGGCAGAGTTTCCCTATAGTGCAGGATGGCCTTGAACTCACTTGTGTAGCTGGAGCTGGACACAGACTCATGGTGATTCTGCTGCCTCAGCCTCCCTAGGGCTGGGATTAGAGGTATGCACCTCCTGGCGCAGCTGAAGCTTTTTCTGTATGTCACTGCGGTACATCTTTGGGGAACCAGTTTCGTGAATTATGCAGACTGTTCAGACACACAGAAGCGTGACCGTTTCTTTGTCTCAGACCTACACAATTTTCTATGCTGGGGACAGGCAGGGGTGGGAAGCAGGTGTTGCCTTGTGGTCCTGCTTTATGTGACTTCATATGAGACACCTCACAACTAATCAAAAAATAAGATTTAGTCATACTTCATACCTAAATAGTGAAAACATCAATGCTAACTCTCCCCTCCGTTTGTTTATACTGCAGGTACAGATAATATTTTTCTTCTTAAAAGAATGTATTTGTTTTTATTTAAAGTTAGGAACTTTATGAGGAGCAATTTGGTGAACTGTTTTATTCTCAAATTACCAACAGGAGTTACCTGCCCTGCAGTCCACCTAATGGAGTACTGTGAACGGAAGGCGGGCACACAGTTATGTGGCCCTGTGGGCCCCTCTGCCTTTGCCGTCCACCCCTTTCCTCCTTCCCTTCTGCAGCCGTATCCGTCTATCAGGATGCACCCCTGGCTCTCTGCTGTTTTACCAACATGAGTAGTAGATTCATAAAAACCACAGATGGAAAGACAAGTATTTAAAACAGGAAGGGAAAGGGACGAAGCAGGCATGTTCCAAAAGCTTCCTTCAAGAGAAAAGAACATTGAGAAGAGGGTGACAGAAATCCAAAATCTAATAAACCATCTTTTTTTATTCTAGAAAAAAATCATTTTCTCTTCTTTAAGAATTACTACTCTTGCTGGGGTACACACCTGTAATCCTAGCACTCAAGAGACTGAGGCAGGAGTATTGTTACAAGTTTAAGACCAGCCTGGGCTACAAAGTGAGCTCAAGGCCAGCCTGAACTGCATAGTGAGACCCTGTCTCAAAAAGACAAAAAAAAAAAAAAAAAAAGTAGAATTACTACTTTTAACAAAACAACTACCTTGCAAGAATTATTTTTATACATTTTGTAATTCACTATTCTTGTTATACTATTTCTTTTACCCTCTAAAAGTTAGACAAAGTTCCTAAAATAATAAGATTCTATAAAGGCATTTTAAAAATTAGCAGGAATCCATTTGTAGAAAATCTCTAGTTTTAAGCTAGCCGCAAGGGTAAAGGAAGTATAATAGACTTATTAATTGGTAAAAGAATTGATGGATAAAATGTATGAAGCAGAGGAAAGTAAACTACATCTTTTAAAAACATCCTCACAAAAATTTATTTGTTCTTTTTTGATTCAGCTACATTATGTATCTTACCCCTATAATGTATTAGACTCTGAAAAAGTTACTCAGGAAATCTCAGTAGTTACACATGACATTCTGCCCTCATCAAGAATACATCACAGTGGGAAAGACTGCTTGGATTGTAACCAAATGACTGCTAGCATTAGTGGTGGGAAAAGCCAGTAATAGGCATTTTGTCCAGCAATTGTACCAAAAATGAAATCCACAATATTTGGAAATGTCATGTCTTCTGTCATTTTGTTTAATAATGTTCTTTCCCATTTTCCACCTTTCTGCTATTCACATATATTCATCAGCTGACCACGTTGCTTCCTTTGGCGTGACCATGTACCAGTTCTATGGAGATTCTGGTCAGTACACCTTTGAATTTGATGGAGATGAAGAGCTCTATGTAGACCTGCAGAAGAAGCAGACTGTCTGGAGGCTTCCTCTGTTTACCGAATTTACAAGTTATGATCCACAAGGTGGACTGAGAAACATAGCTTCAGCAAAGCATAACTTGGGCATCATGACTAGAAGATCCAATTCTACTGCAGCTATCAATAGTATGTGTTCACCATCCTGCTTCTCTTTGTTAAATCTATTCTATCATCCCAGGTTTCACGCCATTCTTCCTTGGTGATAGATACCTTTCACTACTCTACAGTTCCTCCTACTCAGAGTGTCCCCAGATATTCTCGTGATAACTACTGAACTGTAATCTCCCCTCATCCTACAAATCACATTCTTCCATGACTACATAGAGCCTTCCTCCCTTAATGCAGTCTTTGCATGTATCAAAAAAGGTCCCACAGACACTCTACTTTAATCTGCATGTACATAGAGAGAAGGACCTAGGGGTAAAGTAGAGGTGATGGATACTCCCAAGCAGAAATGAAGCAGAAGCTCTTTGAATATCATGTGAGCAAGGGTTGGTTAAAAGGCTCTTTCAGGATGCAGTGCAGAATGTCAGGTTATAAAAATTCCTATTGGATATTCATATGAAGTTTACTTCCTTCCTATAGAAGTTCCTGAGGTGACAGTATTTCCCAAGTCTCCGGTGGTGCTGGGTGATCCCAACACCCTCATCTGTGCTGTGGACAACATCTTTCCTCCTGTGATCAACATCACATGGTTGATCAATGGACGTTTGGTAACAGAAGGCATTTCTGAGACCAGCTTCCTGTCCAGGGATGATCACTCCTTCCTCAAGATCGCGTACCTCACCTTCCTTCCTTCTGCGGATGACGTTTACGACTGCAGAGTGGAGCACTGGGGCCTGGACAAGCCTCTTCTCAAACACTGGGGTGTGTATGAGTTTCACCCCTTTTGGTACCTTTTTGTCAAGTCCAGAATGCCCAAAATTTGTTTTCCATACTTAAAAGGTTTCTAGTGATAGAAGCCTTGATGTTCCTGTCTGAGACTAATACCCCAAATATTTGGAAAATCAACTCCCAGTCCTCCACCCCAAACGCATCTTGCATGTGTGCACAAGAATACTCTTTATTCTGACCTTGACAACTTCAATTTTACAGAACCTGAGATTCCAGCCCCTATGTCAGAGCTGACAGAGAACGTGGTCTGTGCCCTTGGATTGATTGTGGGGCTTGTGGGCATTGTGGTGGGCACTATCTTCATCATCAGAGGCGTGCGCTCAGGTGGTGCCCCTCAACACCTAGGACCTTTGTGAGTTACAAGGAAAGGTAAGATTTTCTGTTTACCAGAGATGAATCCACTGTATGGGGGAAAGAAAGGAAGAGGTGTTTGGTGATGCAAATTTAGTTAAAACATAGTGATGGAATTGTGGAGTGACATGGGCAGCACAGGATCTCATTTCTCTTTTACTGCAGGTACACTTCCCATGTGCAGGAGCAGAAAACTGGACACGCAAGATGGCTGGGCACTAATTTCTATGCTTCATCATATTTTTTATCTTTTGTAAATGCTCCACCTCCCACCTCTTCTCTAGGCCCTAAAAGTCTGTATACCCTCCAAGCTCATTACCCTCAAAGTTCTCCCCCAACCTCCTGATTGTTACCCTTTCCCAAATGTTATTTACTATCAAGTACCTCGGATAACTGACCCAGATACCTGCTTCTCAGTGACTCTGATCCAATATTTCCATGGAAGCAATAAATCCTCCTTTATGAAGTCTTTGTTGATTTTTTTTCCATTCATCTCAATGTCAATGGGACCATGGCTAAGAATCAGAACCCCTTATGTTTCAGGCCCATACACTCATATTCCTCAGGTCATTTTAATGCTCAGTAACATCAAAGCAACCAAATACAGCGTGATGATAGTCCGACATCTTAGCCAAGATTAACAGTTTTCTTTTCCTGTTGTTCCAAGCTTTGATCATTGCTACTCAGCCCAATTTCAAATAACAATGAAGCTAATGCATGTCCTGTTTTCCTGGTGTACACCCGTTATAACAGAAAAACAAATAAAAAACAGTAAATAACTCCACACTCAACATAACTTTTAAAAGCAGAAACAGAAACACATTAAGAAAAAGGATCTTTGACTCTAAAATGTACCAAAAATAAAATTTTGGTAGCGTAGGTTTGTAAAGAATGCGTGATAACAGTAGAAACTCTCGCTTCCTCACACTGAGGAAATAAGAATTCTCAAGGCAAGAAAATAAAGTCAGTTAGAAAAATACTGGAATAAGACAACAGTGTACAGGTACCTAAGAGTGAATACATATTTCTTATTCAGGGTTAGTGTCAACAGAAAAGGGGGCAGTTGTAAAAACCGTAGACATGCATACATAAGAGCAGTACAGATGCATCCACCTCGTCTCCTACAGGAAGCCCCACTAGATACCACATTGATGTCCCTGTGCCACCGTGGCATGGTGGAAACCGTGGAGTGAATATGGTTACATGAAACCTCTGGGTAGATTACCCTAAGGTGGGCTCACTGAGTCCTCGGTGAATCTGTGTGTCCTGGGAGCAGGAATACAACCCGCTGTTCCCCTACCTTTCCTAGCTAAGGAAAGCATGAACCTGTGAGGAGAAATCCTAGGAAGGAAAATACAGCTGACAGAAAGATAGCAGTGCTTGTGAGTTCTGTGTCCACTGGATTCACTGTCACCCAGTGCAAACCTTTCAAGAGGAAATGGGTCGCCAGATAGTGTTCTCTGACTCCCCTAAGTATATCTCTTGATGGGGTATGGCACCTAAAGTTGGAGATACTGGCTTTTGAAATTGTTTTACAAACAAATAATGTTCCTGCTTTGCAACTACTGAGTGCATGCAGTAGATTTAGGATGTTATTATGTAGCTGTCACAAAATCTGTGAAGGTATTTTCTGTCCATGCCATCTCTATCAGTTAACTCAAAATGAAGTTGGGGGAAAAATATATAAAACATCCACATTATAAGTGACGCTGCATAGTTCAGTGTATAGAAACCTAAATATAAATCCAAGATTCAGCATTTTATATCTACTCTTAAACTTTATAATACTGAATCAAGTACCTAACGCTTCTGAGCTTTATTTTTCTCACCTACATTCTGGGAATGATAGTACTCTCTTTGTGAAGTATACATAAAATTAGTATACATATGGTATACATATGAAGTATACATAAAATTGATCATGAAAATGTATATTACAGAGAGGAGATGATTTTAAAGGAAATAAATCTATAGTATAGTATAGTATAGTATAGTATAGTATAGTATAGTATAATATAATATAGTAGAATGCTATATAATTAGTATAATGCTATATGATTTGCATGTCATGTATATTTGTCAAAACCTATGGAATGTAACACACAAAAAGTGATCTATAATATAAACTATGAGTTTAGAATGATGATGATGTATCAGTGTGGATTCATTATTATGACAAATATATCACTCTGATGGGGAGATTTTAATCAAAGAGACTTGTGCAAGCGTGGAAGTAGAAAGGGCGAGAGAAGTATTTTCTGCTCAGTTTTTCTGAGAACCTAAATCTGCAATAAAATAAACTTTATAAAAGAAAAGTAAAAGATGTCAAATATGTAAAAAATTAATATAAATAATGGGTCACGTGAAAATACACAAATGTGACTCAGAAGGTTTTGTATTTTATATAAATTTTATATAAATTTCAATGGTTAATAAGCCAAAAAACCAAGAAATTTGGGAGTGCCTGCATGATTTTGTGGGCCTGTGTTTGTGTGTGTGTAAGAGAGTATTATGTTGAGTAGCATTATGACCAAAGTCATCTAAACATATACAAATAGTGCTCTATTCAGATGCCTTCCCCATAAAGGCAAGTGGGAGCAGTAGCATTTTTGAAGAGATATTTTCATAGCCTTTATATAAATTTTAACCATCAGAATTAAAATTAAATCTAAAAATTAGGAGTAAACATTTCTTTTTATAAGCTAAACTTTCAAAATGGGGTTATCACATGACATTACTGAAAACAAAGTTATAAATGAGTCATGATTTTAAATTGTTATTCATAAAATTATTTGAGCTATTTCAGATTATACACATAAAATATGGCTAATAATATTTCATTTGATATTATTGAAAATTACAAGAATAATACCGGATTGTATTTATCAATACAAACTAGCAATTTGGAGAATTAAATGTTGTCTAAAATAAAACACTTTCACATATAACATGGCAAAAGTAAGCAGTTAATAGATGCCAACAACTAGAATTATTACTATTTTCTGAGGTCCAAGTTACCCCAGGAATGCAACAACCAAAATCCAAAATATGGAAGACTCTACTAGATAAACAATGCAGTTTTGTTAGTGAACAGCCTGCAAGAAAAAAAAAAAAAGAAGAATGAAAAAGAGAAGATGAGAGAGAGACAGAAAGACAGACAGACAGAAAAAGGAATGAAGAAAGGAAGGGGAAAAGATGGAGAGAATAAGGAAAGGAAGGAAAAACTGTTTAAAAATTGATGAAATACATTAACCAAATGTTGAACTTCATTTATCTTTATACTCACACAAAACAATTGTTAATTTAATAAATAATGCTAAAAAAAATCCTTAAGAAGCAATCAGAAAAAATTGGTATTGACTATATGAAGGAATTACTCACCCAGTCTTAGTTGTAGTGATGGCACTGCTGTTGGTTCATGACCAATTGGCCCTGATCTGGGGATATACGGTGATATAGTGGGAGCATATGGCAGCACAAAACTGGTTACTTCATGGTAGACAAAAGACAGAAAAAAAGAAGAGACAAGAATTGTTGGAAACCACTGTGATGTGGCTCTGAGCAGGATTTAAAATTAACTGATTGACTTTCTGTTTATCTGTGAGTTGGTCCTAGATGTTGGCCCCTTTCCTGGGGACGGGAGCTGATTTATAGTAAGTGAACCTCTATGAATCACTGGTCCTGGCTGAGGCCTGTAGTGGCCTGTGGTGCCAAAGATACCTCAAAAGATAAGACAAGACCACAGCTGAGGACACCTTGGCTCAAACACCAATTAAGTAGATAGATAAAGATTGCAATTGCAGGCATCTCACTCTTGCTGTCCCATTATGTCAGTCATCATGGAGATAAGACAGTTCTCCTAAGTTGGCATAATTTACTACTTGGAGAAGTCTTTGAAGGGACTCCCAAGATCCTGCTCAGTTTCCATGCTTTCCTCAGTATTCTCTCTCTTTGCTTGAAAATATGATAAATATGGGCCACCCAGAGAAGCTCTTTGGCTTAGCCCCCGGAGTCTTGAACTCTGCAAAATGGTTTTAATCCTCCTAGAGACCTAAAATCATACCACTTGTCTCATTTATTTAAACCTTCACCATACACTTGTTTAGGAGGTTGGAGACCTTGGCCAGGTCCCCAATAAAGAAGTCCACAACCCCTTTGGGCATGCCTCCTAGTGACCTGAAGACCTCTCACAGGCCCCACCTCTCAAAAGTTCTACCACTCAACAGTACCACACCAGGAACCCATTCCAGGTCCAGACTATAGTAAAAACCTTAAATAAATATATTTTGAGATGAAATAAAATGGTAAACGGTAAATAAGTGACATGTTTGAAGAGGGCAAAGCAAAAGTTTAAGAAAACTATCCAATAAGAAAGAGCTGAGAAATAAAATAAAATGAAAACTTTCACAGATTTAGTAAAGTTCATATAAAAACCAACAAGTTATTTAAGGTTTTCAAAATTAGAATTCTTAGAATTGAAAAGATACGTCATCTCTAAAAATAATAATAAAATGGTAATCAGGGTTGGAAAATGTAACAGAAAAACTCACTGAAATCTAAAGACAAAAAAAATGTAATACATAGTATTAAGATATAGAGAATAGATGGAGCAAATTCAACATCAAGTGACAAACACTAGTGAAAGAAACAGAGAAAATGAAACAGAAGTTTTCCAAATACAAGAATTTAATTCTTTACACAGAAGAAGACTGTCAGGAATTTAGCAAAACTAAAAGAAATAATTATTGCAAAAGATATCATTTTTAATAATTTAAAAACTCACAGGTTGAAGAACATCATAAACTCCAGTGAGAAAAAGCAAAACAAAACAGACAAGAGACAGATATCAGACTGCCAAATGCTTCTATCATTAAAATGAGAAAAACCTCAGAGTTCTAATGAACAATTACTTCAAATTAATAAATATATGCATTTTCAAAATCACAATCCAACACAGAAAAAGAGTACAAATACATATGAAAGGATGCAGAATACCTACTACACGTAATTTTATTGGAAGTTTATCAAGACATGACCCAATGAAGTGAGGTTGTTAAGTAGAAAACAGGAAGCCAAGGAATCCATAAAACCATGGATTCAATCCAGGATGTGAGGAAGAGGAATCCTATAATGGTATGATACTAGTTGTTATACGGCAAACTAGTAATATTTGATGACACAAGGGACATTATAAGGCATTAAGTATTCTTAAAGTTTTGCAATTAATCTATGAGCAAAGTATGACAATAATTGCTATGACAAGATGTCAATATTTTTGGATTTGAGAACATATTTTTAAGCAGTTGCTTCAGTTTGACAAATAGAAGTGTAAAGAAAAGACAACAGAAAGGATGGCTATGCCTATACTATTTTTTAAAATTTAATTTAATTTTTTAAAACAGGTAAAACTAAACATAACAAAGATCAGAAGAAAACAATGTAAGTGATAACAGATTTCAAAACAAG